TGGTTAACTTCTTCCACACCAGATTATTCTATGCTAAAAACAGAATGGAGAGAGACATGGAACTTTCATCAAAAGGTTAAAAAAGTTCACAACACACACAATAAGGTCAGCTCTGATCAGTTTATCATTTTTATGACACCTGGCAACAAGAGTGCACCTATGCTAAAAACAGAATTGAGAGAGATGTGGAACTTTCATCAAAAGGTCAAGAAAATTCACAACACACACAATAAAGTCAGCTCTGATCAGTTTATCAATTTTATGACACCTGGCAACAAGAGTGCACAAGCATTTTAGAGAAAAAAGATAATTGCACAGATAAATGCAAGACTGCCATGATGACTTCTAAGCCTAAGCATCTTTTGTTTAAAGTACAGCTTCATTCAGCACCTTGACTGCTTGGTAAAGCAAAAAAGGGTATTTAAATCTATCTTGTAATTAACCAACACTAACAAAACCAGACTTTTTTTTTTGTTCCCCAGCCCCTTTTTTTCACCTTTTTCTTCTGTTACATGATGTATGTGCTGTTTAGCATCCACACACTTCAGGAGCAACGGGCAGTTAGGGTACTCTGGGTCCAGCACAACTTGATTGAGTGGCTGGAATTTTCCTTGCTGCTGAAAAGACACCAAAGGGATTGCAAAAACATCATTATAATGTTAAGATGCATATACACACACATAGAAATATATAAGCCTGCAATGGCTGTAGCTTCAAAATAAAAGATTTAAAGATCTTATTTTGAATGGTAACAACTAACATGTTCAGAAAGTGATTACAAAGCAAACATTATAAATATTTACTTTTAACTATTTATATTATATAAATATAGATGTCAAACCAATAAGTACCTGCAAAATGCTGAACTCTTCAGTTACTGCACTTAAAAGACCAAGTTTAAAACAGCATGGGGAGAAACTAATGTGAAGTACAGCAGGATTTTTTGGAAGATGACATAAGACACAGTAGTCAGTGCCTGCCAATAGTGTTTTAGACCCAAACCTGTTGGAGTAAACCCAGCGTCATAACTTCCATTCAAATTTTGCTTTTCCTTCCATAAAAATAAATCTCAAAGGAGCAGGGCAGCTTCTGGAACAGAGTATTAACCTTTCACCTCTGCAAAGTCAATTCCAGTTTGGCCAGAGTATATAGATATATGTAAAGTCATTTTGGCACAACTTAAAGAGCCCCACACATGACACAACCATCAAACAGATGTTGCTGTTGCCAAACAATGCATAATCACTCAGTGAGGTTTGGCACAACTGGCAGCCCTCCTTTTGGAAAGAGCCTTCAGATCATCAGTACAAAGGCTTGGTGGGCTCTCCATCCTTAGAGAGTGCATGGTCTCAGGGGCTGGAGCTGGAGTCCTCATACTGGTCAGCATGTTGAAAAACCCCACTTGGGAATACTGCTTTCATTATTAATTAGCCCTCTTGCTAGACAGTCAGAGGCTTAATAAAAGCCATCCACTGTTAAATCCAATAAAAAACAAGGAGGGGAAAAAAGCAAACAACAAAAAAAAATCCAGAGAGGATTTAAAGCTTTTTTTTGCTCCTGAAAAAGAAAAGGCACAATAACAATGGCAAAAAGAAGGTTATAAGTAAGGCTGTGATAAATTGTTTCCTGTAGGTGAACTACCTGTGCAGACCTGGCTGTGTTTTTCATGCCTGGCCTAGAAAACAATGCCCAGGGAAAGTAAAGGGCAGTGCAGGACCCTCCCTGTGCACAGTCACAGCAGTAGCTGTCCTTTACTCAGGCTGCCTCCACAGGAGAGATTTACTGCTCCCCTCATTTGGTGTGAAGCTTCCACAGGGATGCTGAATTCAAACAGAGCACAGTGCCTGGAGAACCAGCTCAACTATTCCTTGTGAAATGACTTCTTCTGGTGGGCCACCCTGAAGCAGGAACAAACCACAGCACTACAGAGAAGCTTTGCACAGGCTACGTAGGATAAATAATTTAAAAGTAATTACACAGCAATGGGTCAGTATTACAGATCTGTGGGAGGACTTTCATTTCTGCACCATGTAACAAGGGTTCACCTTCATTCCCACTTGCAATCTAAAGCAGAAAATAGCAAGCAACTTTATAGGAAATGCTCTTAGAGCAAAAACTCCTAGGATGCATAAAGTGAAATGATTGCCTCTGTGAAACAAAAAAATCCAATTTACATTTTATTTTTGCAGGCAGTTATAAACAATAAATCAATAACTCTCCCTGTATCTTTTGATACAATTCAGAAATTTGACTGAGGTTTTGTCATGCTCTTGCTAAATCAATTATGCCATTTCTTAACTATCCAACTTTTGGACAGTTGATCATCCCATTGCTGTTCTAGGATACAGTGTCTCTACAAATACTGCTTCTAAAAAGGCAATGTTCCCTTTCAAGTTCAAACTGCCACAGAAATGTCCCTTATTCCTTCCCCATAGGATCCAAATTCTTCTTTCTGTTCCCTTTCTTTCCCAGAATGACTCATCTAACTGATGCCTCAGAAAGGGCACTAGTTTGTTTTTCTCTGATGACACCTCATCATTTTAAATTCAATAGATCTGGGACAAAAAGATTCCCTGCTTCTCTTAAAAAGCAAGTGATTAGAGTTTGATGAGATTGCAAACTGACTCTTGAAATAAACCTTACTGACTTAAAAACTTGATGCAGACAAAAAGTATTTCTAGGGTGAATATTTCTGCTTTAAATGCAAATTATATTTCCATTATTATGCTTTGAAAAATTAACATAAGTTCTGTAGAAAATGAAGTCAGAAATAACATATTGTCCTGATAATTCCAGGATAAAAATAAAGCAGGCTTACCTCTTTGTCTGCCTTTATGAGGTAGTAAAGTATCAGAAACAAGGGGTCCATTGGTGTAACAAACAGCAGGCGCCCATCTAAGTGACAGACATGTAAAAGTAGACTTAGTACTAAGAGGCACAATATATTGACTTCTTTTTAGGATTTTTTCAGGAGTGTGGGCAAGGAGGCTTTTTTTTCCCCCCCAGTAAGTATCCCAATATTTTAATAAAACAGGCAGGAAAAGAATATTTGTGATTTTATATTAAAATACAGAGATCTCAATTCTCAACCCTGCCAAACGAAAGCACAAGCTCCACTGCAGGTCCATGGGCTTCAAACACTCTCAGTTTTGCCTGTTTCTGAACTATATTAAAAACAGCAAAATTGAAGCTGCCCTCTATTGGCAGACCCGGGTGTAACAGAAGCTTGTTTTTAGGAGACCAGATACATCCAGTATACTCCACGTCAAACACTGGCTGGCAGAAAAGGGAGGCAAGGCAAGAAAGGGTTTCAAGAGCTCCTTAAGTTTGAGCTGCCTCTCATCTGCATGCACTCTCCTCATAGAACAAAACAAACTCAAACAGACCAGAAAATACAGCTCAGTATGTTGTCTTCAGAGCTGCACACAAAGGAAGAACTTGGTCTCCCATTGAAACAGACACCTCTGCCCATCTGGAGCTCATTGCAGGACAATAGCTCAGTCAAGCTTTTTGTACAGTTGTAGATAATTTGAAACAATGTAACATCAAGGAAATTCACTAATGAGACCAAATAATTGATGACAATTTGACATTAATGAGCAAACTAAAAGCAAATAATTTTTTGTTGTTTTTCTAAATCGCAGGATGAAGATAATCAAAGAAAAGGAAATCCTAAAACTAACAAAGGATGGGGTGGGAAGAAGAGGGTTTGGACAAAGCCAATACCTGCTCTAGCATCTGTATTACTGCCATGATGCCTGGCCTGAGGCTCAGCAAGCATTGCTACCACTTCTAAACATGAAAGCTTGGAAAATAAAACTGGGGAAAAAGAACACTAGCCACTTTCTCAAAGCTTCAGTAGAAATGCTTTCCACTGTACCTCCAGAAAAAGGTGTATTTATTTGTTCTGCAGAGTTCAGACACACTAGAGGTGTATAAGGACCTCTGTCCTTCTCTGCAGATAACAAGGTAATTTGTTTTTTGTGCTTTAACTGCACACACACAGCTTTTTTTTTTGCCTGTTGTTCTTCCCCTGACTGTTTCAGAGATGTAGCAGCTCTAACATTCAGGAATAATTCTTCCCCCTGTATCTTTTAAAGAAAACTGAGCCATGACTCCTTAAGGCAACTGTTTCCCAAGGGCCAAAACAGAGTTAGAAAGGCCTGGGGAGAATACAATGTGGACATAATTGGGAGCAGGGAGCAGACTCAGCCTTTTGGCTCACCCCCAGATGGAGCAAGGCAAAGCTCAGACGTACTGCTTGCATTGCTATAGGCACCTGCAGAGGATGTTTAAAAGTTAACAGACACTGTGGGATAGTACCATTAAAGAAAGCACACGTCTGGTGGGGTTGCTCTTATTTATTACTACAAATGTCTTTTTTTCTAGTTCAGAAGGACAAAGGAAGCATAATTCCATCTCCTGCAGTAATACTCACTGCTTGGTCTGTGGACATGCTGCCAGAGCAGCACTACTCCAATGACATCCTTACTGTTAAAGCTGTCACAAACAGCTACAGGAGCTTCCTTCAGGCAAGCTAGGATCAGAGAATGGCTGGGGTGCTACAGAAGAGCTCCCTTCTGACAAAACACTGAAATGGCACCTTCAGACAGCACGCCTGTCCTGAGATCCCAGCACTCACCCAAGGGACCACAGAGGTAATGAAAAGAAACCAGGACCATGCATTCCAACGCTTGGAGTGCTCTGCTCAGCTAGCTAAGGCCTTCCAGCCTGCTTCCCTCCCACAGGAGAACACCTATTTTACTTGCACTGAGGACCTGCTTGTCTGATTGACAAGGCAAGCTAAGTATTACTTCAGTTTGAATACAATTGAATGACTTGCTCCCCATTCCTCAAAGACAAATGAACATCTGTCTAATTGGGGCTGCCAAAGGCAGCCTTTTAAAGAAAGACCACAAAGCCCCCAGCCCTGGTTAAATCCAGATGGCAAATGAGTGTGTCAGAAGGTGGGGATGTGATGCAGCATGGCCCAAACAACAAGGAAAACCACCTGTAAATTTACTAGAAAAGAGAGGGAAGGTCTGGGTGTGAACATTAGTTACAGTTGGGGGAAGGATACGTTGCATTACTCACCCTGTTGAACACTCTGGTCTATAAACCAGGAACGATACTCCTCCTGAAAAGCTTTTACTTCAAACAGCTGCTGTGCACCACTATTGAATAAGTAAAGGGTTGCTTCCCCTGTTGAAAAGAAATCTGGTTTGTGTTTGTAAGCCTTCACAAAAATCAAAAGAATACCCAATACGTCTGAAGAATGTGCCTTATATACATACAGACACACAAACATACACACATTCTACATAGCTCACTACAAAGAAAGCTCAGACAAAGAAAACTATTATATACAGATGTTCATTTACCAGCTCTATAAACCAAACTGAATTTGAATCAATAAATAAGATGTGTGAATAGTTCATCTTACAACACAAAGCCTTTGATCCAAACCCAAATCAAAAAGACATCAGCTTTTGTCTATGCTGAAGGGGGAAGGTGGAAAACAAGAAAATTCCTCCTCCTTCCATTGTGTTTGTCTCCCAGATATCAGACTCTGGGTTAGGGGAACAAAAGTCTCAAACTTTCACATGATAATTTGAAACCTTTTTTTTTTGGTGCATGAAAATTGACTGCCAATGACTTAGTATGAGTGGACAAATAAGGTGTAGAAGGAAAGTAAAAGAAGTTGCTTCAAAGTGCCCATCAGAATCTTGATAGTTTGGAAAAGTAAGCTCTTTATTTGAGGCCACCCCAGAGCACAGTTCTGCCATTTCACAGGAGCTCTGGCTTATAATGAAAGGGTGCTGAATCTGTTGCAAACAGGATTGGCATTTTCCCCATCTAAAAGAGGAAGATGCCAGAATTACTGAAGGGGCCACTGAAATTGGGTCAGCTGACTGTTGGCTTAAGTGGTCCTGTCTTGGTTACCAATCCATCTTCAAGCAACAGGAGCAACTACAACATGGCAGTCCTGCTCAAAAGACACAAATTACAAAGCTGCACTTTGAAAAACACTTCTTGTGGGACTTCTGAACTGCAGGCTGAACTCTATGGTCTTGGTAAGGGATAGAAATTTTGTCTTTTTTACCTGTCTATAAAAAGGACCATGCATACTTTCATTTAATGAAGTGGTTAGCATGAATCCTGCAGCACGCAGAGTACTTCAGTGCATATTTATACAAGATCTGGCATCAACAATTCATCTGTTAGACACAAACGTAAGGAAAATACATTAATAGGGTGTTCTCAGTCCTTCCATTTTAAGACTCTAGGCTTATAATAGGCTACATAACTGAAAGTTTATGTAGGTCTATAAATAAGCTCCTGTAAATTCTAAAGGAACACACCCAAGCAATCGTTGTACTTTTAGGTTTTCCCCAGAAACCTTCCTCAGGATCTCTGATTCTATAAGGTAAACTGATCTCTTCTTCAACAGAAAATAAAAGCTAATTAATAGCTAAGCTTTCAAACATGAGACAAATTTGAAAGGCACTATCATACAGAAGGTGGAAAAATATACATGGTTATATATAAGTCTGAGCAATCAAAAAACAGGTACCAGGATGAGTAGATGATTTCACATTCTGTATCTGCTGTTTATTATACTGTATTGTGAGTTTAAAATGTACCTGAAGACTTTAGTTACAATCATATATAATAGGAACATTGAATTTCAAAACAAAACCACACAACTTAAATCTACAGGAAACAAAGGAGCTTATGAAGTGAAAAAAAACACAGCATGAAACATGTTTTTCAAACAAAATGTGTTAACCCTAACAAAGACTCACTGCAAGTTTCTGTTGCAGCATCTCATACTCAAATTATTGCTTTACTCATATAATAATAACAAATCTTGAACAAAAGAACAATCTGTCTAGAAGAAACTAACTGTGGGATGGTGGTGTCATTGTATTGCCTCTATTTGCTGGTCTTGCCAATGTATTTTGAATTCAAAGTGTCTCATCATCATCTACTAATGAGAAAAGAGACATCACCACTTGGACCAGGGAAACAAGAAAATCAGATTTAAATATAAAAAGACTCAAAAAGAAGCTTGGTGAGTATAACTTGCATCACTTCTAACTCTGACTATTTATTTTATAGCATAAGATGGATGCAATGAAGCCTACATTTGGATTACAAAAAAAGCCCAGTCTCAACACCCAACACTATAAGCTCCCTAAAACTAATGCACTTCAAACCAAAACTTAAATTACACCCCTTTTTTTGTCCTGCCAATATTCCTGATGAATAAACACTTCAACCAATTAAAATCAGAAAAGAAATCCTAAATGTTTGCACAGCATGAACTATCTGGCATCCCCAGCAGTATCTTTGGCACGTGAGACTTATTATCATTAGTTCAGCTTGCAAAATAGGGATCTTTTGGTGGGGGAGGGAATCAACCAGAGCATTAAGAGGCTGGTGTCACCATTCCAAAACTTGCCTGTGCTTGGATTGCGCAGCTTTGTAAACAGAGGTTCACTGTCAGGTGTCTTAGGGGGGTCAGTAGCAGCCTCTGGAGGGGGAAAAGGAGAAAAATGATGAACTTGTAAATTGAGAAGCATTTCATGCTTCTCCCCAAGACATTCAGAATGAACTGGATTGACATTTTTTTGAAAACTCATGTCTTTTCTGCCTAAAAGTTATATATGCCTCAGCCCAAATTGATCCTACCTGATCAAGGCAGCTAAATTATGATTCCAGACTTCCTGGCACTCTCTATCTGCCACAGGAAAGATATGCACCTGGGGATGGTTTAGAGTTTGAAAACAGCTTCCTTCTAGAGAGCCTCAGGCAAGAGAGCTTGAAGTTGGACATCTCAGTGAAGGGAGATGAACTCATACGTTGCCCTGATTAGTCACAAAGATAATGAGAATGCTTTGGTAAGTTAGGGCAAGCACAGTGTGGACATGAAAAAGTTCAAAGTTCAAAAGGTAAAATATATGTGGGAAGAAACAGTGGTCCTCTAAAGCTTTCAGGAAGCCAGATTGTGAAGAAATACAGGGCAGGAGTTGTCTGAGTGGCTGTTACTTCTGTGAAAAATATGCCCATTTGTTTATCAGTTATGTACAATCTTTAAAAATGCAGAGTGCCTTTAATTGCCTCCACAGGAAAAAGAAGCTGAGAGAATACAGCACCTCTGGCTTAAGCCTCTGACAGTTGTTCTCTTTTCTGTGCCTTTAAGCAAAAAAAAGACAAAATGCAGAAGCACAAAAGTTGGATTTCTCTGTGAAATTAAAAAAAAATAAATTAGAAAGGAAACAGCTCCCACAAGGATGCTGGTTCAAGTCTGAATAAACATCAATAAGGATCCCCAGTTAATGATATCTCTCCAAGTTCTCTTTGTAGGGCAAGTCTAACTTACATTTATGAAAACAACTTCCCACATCTGAGAGGAGCAACATGACAGCATCATCTTTCTTAGCTTGCACGCTGCCAGTTCTGTCCCAATTCCTTTCTTACTGGCATTCATCAGAGCAAGGAGAGTTATTAAAGCATTTCACACACAGAACCAGTCTCCAGACCCCAGAGAATGGACTGAGAGGGATGGGGCTGATGTCTGCCTCACGGGGTTGCCCAGCAGAGCAGAGTGCACAGGCTGCACTCCTGTTCCCCAGGGAGGCTGTTGGAAGGAACACAAGTGCCACATTGCCCTTCCCCTTCCAGCAGCATCCAGGAAGTTTGCAGAAAGCACACAGTTCTTTTCTATGGAAAACAGGGAAGTAGGAACCTCTAGTACAACCAAAAATAGCTGTCTCCACTCTGGCTGAAAGCCTATCCCAGACAGAGGTGGGCTTCTCATAGGCTGCTCACTGGCACCAAAAAAGCCCCAAATAACCCTCATCCTTCACACCCACTCCTGGTTATTCAGCTATGTCACAAACAGAAATCACTCAGCTGAACACATGAGCAGGGCTTCAAAAGCAAGGGCATTTTGTGTGAAGTGTAGGAGGACAGTAAATCTTGGAGTGGTTCAGAGAATTTACAGTCATTTTCTTCCCCTGAATTTTTAGCCGAGTCTTCAGGTGGCTTGAAAAAGTGCTTTAAAAAGTTTCAATAAAAGTTGAGGGTTTTTAATGGAAAAAAAAAGTCCTTACTTTCTAACCAGACTTGCTTCATATGCTGATACATAAACACGCAGGGTTGTCAAGCTACATTTGCCCTGGCAAAGGCAAACTTCAAATTTCTAGAGCTGTGTATATTTCAGTTCTTGACCACAGTTTAACATCAGTGTATTTTTTGTTAGTTTTTGAAACACTACAGTGATTAATGACAGTGAAAGAAACACGCTGCATGTGTTTACTTTGATGTGTTTCACATGAACATGTTAAAATATACACACTAAAGGCGAGTTTCAAAAATTTAAAACAAAAAGCAAAACAAACAAAAACCCCCAAGGAACTTTCAGCTCTCACTTGCTCTGCTTTCCTCATGCACAGATTTATGAACTCTGGGAAGGGGTCCAGCTGAGCCCTGAGTTGCATCTTGTCTAACATGAACAATTAAGTGGACAATCCTTCCTAACCTAGCTGTTTGTAAGGATGTTCACATCTTTATTTAGGTGATAGCCTTTTTTCCTAAACTTCTGATCACACTGGCCCTTATTTATCTGAATTTAAACACTTCAGGAGTAGGAAAACGCTGAGCAAGGGGTTTTTGAAATTAGGTGTCCAAACCTAACTTGTGTGTGTGTTCTGGCCTTTAGCCAGGAAAGGTAACTGGATTTCTTTAATGTCATTACATTTATCAGTTCTTGTGTTTAGGCAAGGACCTCTTAGAGCTAAATAAATAAAAACTTCTTAAAAAATCAGTACTGTAGCAATTTTCTAGCAAAACTGAGAGTTAAACTAGACTTTTTTGCAACACTGGGCTAATAAGTATGCCTGCTTTGCTTAAGTTACAGTCTACTGTTCACTCACTATTAACCAAATTACACAAAACTCCATCTAAAAATGTGGGTTATGCATCCACCAGTTGCACTGGAGTCTACAGACAGAATCTCAGAAGCCTGAAGCTGAGTGAAGGAGATTACTCAAGCTTAAACAAAGCTTGCCATCATGGAGAGGAGAAAAGCTTGTCACCCTTCATGGAAGTCAGACAGACAACCAGGCAAATTCTATAAAACATATCAACAGAACAAAGTGAAAATGAACCTGCTGTCAAAGGATTTCTGGCAATAATTTCTTCCACAATGGATAGATAGGAGGCACTAATGAATCTAGCCATTAAAAAAAGTATTAGATTGTACAGCAACATGACTAAATTGGAAAAGAACATAAAATTCCCACTAAGATCTATGCAACTCCATGGATGATGCAAGGTCTGTTCACCTTTTAAGAAAAAATGCTTTGAGAATACTATATAAAACAGACAAATATCAACTTATATGGAATTCCCATGCAAAAAAGCTGCCAGCCAAGCAAGCAAAAAGGCTGTAAATATCTGTCAGTTGTGTAAGGGGAAAAAAAAACCCTCTGAGAGCACAAATTTCCCTACCACCACTGCCCTGAAGAAAAAAAAAACAAAAAGTAAACCAGAATTATGTAAAAGTCTGGAAAAATAAAGTTAAGATTTCATTTAAAACCAGATATTAAACCATACATCACTTACACAAGTCTTTTCCATTCCCTTCTTAACTTCTAACTATGCACAAAAGGTGTGTCAGCTGGAGACAGTAGGATGGAGCCCATTAAATGGGCATTTTATGGAAGGCTTTAAACTACGTAGCTTAAGGCTACAGTTATGTTAAGTCTAATAATAATTTTATTTATGTTCTCTTTAGAATCAGTCAAGCCTGCAGTAAATGGTTTAAATTCAGTGTCTGTAGTCTGTCCTGCAGCATGCCCTGAAAAAAGTCCAGTGAAAATTAATTAATAAATCCAGTACTTTGCATCACTCAAACTATCGATGAATTTTACAAGGTCATTAACTATTAGCTTAATGAATGAATTCAGGTGTGCACAGACTGGTCTCTGACCAGTGTAAGCTCATTAGAGATCCTAGATGACTTTACAGAGGTGGAAAAGCAAGAGGTGAGGCACAGGACTCTCTCATTGCTCCTTTGGCTAGCAGTGCCCTCAGGGGAGTGCTAAATGGCACACAGCTCCACCTACCTCTGCAAACAGCCTCTTCTGCAGGGGTTTACATGCAAGGTATGGCTTTGCACTTGCAGGCACTGGATTTTTGGAAACATCTTCTTAACTGTTACTCAGAGAGGTTAACTGGATGTTACCTCACCACCTTACCCTCTCCTCGACCATACGTAGCTTTGTTGATGGGACTTTTCTGGGGTCTGTTGTTAAAGACAGAATGCTTATCAGCTTGGTAATCACAGCATTTATTATTTGCTGCCCTAAGGAAATAGTGTTTAATGTGATAGAATTTGCACCCTTTAAAGTCTTTCTTGCTCCCACTTCACCTGAAAAATCCTACAATAAAACACAATATCTAAAAATGGCACTGTTCTCTATCCTGGGCAAAAACTCTACCTGATTTGTAGATGGTCTGAGTGTTATTTTGCTCCAGTACACAGCTTTGGAATACAGCTAAATATTAAGACTTCTGCCTGAGAGCATCTTTTGGCTTCCCCTCATGCTGGCACATTCATTTCTTAGGCCAAAACGTTCATGGCCTCCCTGGCAGCAAGGGACAGCACTAATTCATCTGTTACTGAAACCCAGCCACGAGGCAGATCGTGCAGGGATTTGAGCTGAATGAGAGAGAGGTCACTCTTGAGAAGTTCAAGAACAGGTTATCACTTGAAAGGATAAAAACTTCAGACTTCCCTTCTCAATATTTATAGGGTCAACACTGGTGCAGCTGTATTACTGGCTGAATCAGCCCTATTTCCATGTGCAGAGAGGCCTAAGTTGGCATAAGTTGGTCTCTTCCAAGCCAGATGGCAGAAAGCAGAAGCAGGAGATGGTGTTACACATTAAAACATCTCTTTTCAGTTATTTTATTTGCTATGCTTCCTTCTGGCTCCTTAGCTTGCCAGTTGTATCTGCTTTATACACAGCTGAGCTCAGTATGCCTTTTAAGAGATGACACATAAGAAATGGTGCAAATTACCTGCAGGCAAAAGGCTTTGTTCAGGAGATGCAAATGCCAATTTAGGGGGAGGTGAAGGAAAACACACTCACGGATTGCTAGCTTCTAAAATAAGCACATTCACATTCACCTTATTAAAAAGGTATATAAATATGTGCACATATTTGATACAATCTTTCTAATGTTTCACATCAGCTGTTAAAAACCATACACATTTGCTTATTGTAAACATTCTTCTCAAGTTATTTTTCTAAAGTATTCTGGAAGTATTAATGTGCAAGTGTCCTGCTCCATTCTCACATGCATTACAACTTCTGAATCAAGCTCCCTAACAGCCCAGCAGTGTGGTCTATTTTGTAGCAGATAAATTGAGCTGCTTTTAAAATGCTAAACAAAAGCATTTATCAAAGCCTTAAGTGCAAGGTGTGACAATGGAAGAAAAATCCCCCCCTGCCTACTTGAGATTTTAAAGCAAACTACTTTTATGCATTAAGTATTCCACAGCTTCTTTTGCTATGACATTTTCACTCCATATGACCCTAAATTTTCAAGTCAAATGCTTCCTCTGTTGTTG